TTGTTGAAGCCCTTTGCGAGCTAATTCCCTTCTCTGCTTGGAGACTGGGGCCCCTTCCGACCCAAACAACGATACCACCGGTCAACATCGCCGGTGGTGGTTGCTAAATTTTGGGATGCTGTCTCCCGGGCAGACAGCATAAGATGTTGCTTATTCAGTATTACGTGAAGGCGCTAACAGGCTGACCGCTGGTCACTGGTCTATCCGTAACCATGACATATTGACGGTTCATGGGTCTACCACACATTCAGTCAGATGTGAACAAAGCATGGTCATGTAGTGTTAGTGAGAGATGGAGCAGGCATAAAACAAATATGCTCGGGGTACAACCCATTCGGCATACGTGATAAGCATCGTACCTAGTTTGAACCCTGCGTTCAGCTGGGGATCGATCGAAATGATGGTTCAGAGCGCGAAAGGGATCCCTTCCCCCTTGCAACGGTGACCACCGGTCAACACGACCGTTGCTGGCCTCTCAAAACTTAATTTTTGGGGTGCTGTCTACTGTAGGCAGCATAAAATGTTGCTTATTTAGTGTCACGTGAAAGGCGCTAATATTTGGCTCGTGTAGCTAGCGCTTCACGGTATCTGGAACTCCCTGTCCCATTTCTCATTAGCTTAACTAACCGTACTTTTTTACGTCTGCCCGGAACTGCGGTAGATGTGTGATCCAGGAACCAAGAAAGGTAGAAAGCTGAAATTTCACAAAAACATTCAGTGTCCCGGCGTGGGTAAAAGATTTCAGATTCAGTCTCACGATGACGGAGCATCAGTTTGGAGATGGGCGTTGGGTCATAGACTAAATGATGTGGATGATATCTTACGAATCTGTTCGCGCTGTATTCCGGGATTTTGGAGGCCTTCTATTTACAGTCTGGTCGCAGCCATATCAGTACCATGCATCACGTTCGTCCTCGAAGCGTTAATCTATCTTGGTCAGGAAGTAAATTAGTTCCACAATTTTTTCAACGAAAAAGTACACGTAAAAAGGTTCGCTTGGCTCAACTTTCGTCGTTGGCGTAATCAAAGCACTGAACTGGAAAGACCGTTCGCACTGGTTTAATATCAAAGGCAATGACGCGCGGATGCGAGATATGGTCACTGAAAAAAGTTGAAGAGCGAATACTGGCTATGACGGTGTTCACAGTGTCGTTGCAACTAAGCAGGAAAATGAAATTCGAAAAGCAGTTTCTTACATTTCGGTGGACGTCATGTATATTGATGAATGGAACATGCACGAAAAAATGAACAGCCACTAACACTGATTTTCAAAAAGATGGCAAGCAAACATCGAACAAACGATAGATACTAACTGGGCACATATAAGCTTAAGGCAGAACGGTTTGATGAATTTGCGTCAGGCTTCTGGGCAGTTCCTAGTAATATCACTAGCACTTCTTAGTAATATCACTAATAATCTTAGTAAAACTGAAGTTGACAGTGACTTTTGTTACAAACAAAAAAAGAAATGAAATATTGCCTACAAATTTTCAGGATGGAAGCAAAAAACGAGAAGGTATTCGGGCCAAGTAACACCGAACCGAATCTGGTGTGCACAGCTCCCGTCAGAGCAAAGAAATCCAACGCCCCGTAAATATAGCCCCAAAGATATCCAAAACCCTGAATTTTGTGATTCAAATGTTACAAAAAAGAGAAGTTTCAAAGATCGGTTGATCTGCAGTCGACCAACATACTGTACAATTTGAGATCAATTGAATTTCGAACATACTCGCATTTATCATTTCTTTCGTTTGGCTCCCCTCCAGCATCGATACCGTTTCTTTGCTCCTGTGATCCACATTGCATCGCTATTGCCAGTTCATCATCCGTCAACTGATCGTTGGAAGCACGTGTTTCGCTCAGTGATAATTCAGTTGTGATGCGTGAGCTGCCTTGCTTTATACTCATGCGACGGTTGAATCTTTTTGCACCTAAAAAAATTTTTTTATCAAGCAGCAACAAAAAAACACATTTTTCTGCATGATTTCATGGACCGAAATATTCCTTTTCTGTTTTATGGACATACTTTTCACTAAAATCAACTCTTTTTGTTTGATAGAATTTTCAATTAATTGTCTCCTGCACAGTCCCTCTTCGAATTCCCTGTAAGAAATTTTACAGTGTTTCATTATCATTTTTACTAATACACCCATCTAATTGTAAATGCTTGGAAAATTTCTAGTGTCTGAGCATTCACCAAACCAAGTTTTTTAAAATTCTTGCTCCGACGAGAATCCAGGATCGGTATTTCTGAGCGCATGCACATCCAAGGATTGTATGTCCCTGAACAGTGAATGCCGAACTTTTGAGACTTGTCGTAGTGAAAGGCGCTTACACCCTGAACTGGGCTTTTATGGTTTAATATGCACTTGGCCTGCTGGATGCAGCGTCATATCAAACAACTGCCCAGCACTGTGCGCCAGGGAGTTTCATGCACTTGCTGTTTTCTAACTTTCATTCACAAAACGAAGCGTTTTTGAGCCAAACAATTTTGGGACTAAATACGCCGAATTGGTCGAAGTGCAACAGCTATAAAGTAACACTGCTCGGTATGCAAGAAACAATTTTTGTGGAGTAGCACTTAATTCAGGGGACAATACATTGGAAATACGGAAAATACTAGCATTTAAAAAGAAACTTTCAAATAAATCATTAAAATAAAAAAATCCTTTAAATCCTCGAAATAAATCTTAAAAATTTGTTCAGTAAAAAAAGTGAAATAAGAGACCAGAAGTAAGCCTGCACAGTCAGAAATAAGCTTGGTGTTAGGCCTCGGGATTTTGCTCAGTGTGAAGTGCAAGACAAGGCAAGGCAAGAGCTTAGAGATTAATGTTTCATCCTTTTAAAAAATCAATTTTAACGCGGAACAAACCAAAGTACCTTTGTTTTTGGTGAGGCCATACCGGATGAGTGAGCAAAACAATATTTTTTTGTACCGTGGAACCCCTCCTGGTATCTAGTGGCTTTCCTGTGGCTTTGTTGACTCCATGCATCAGTCCCTTTTCCCGTTTGTTAGCTTTCAGATCATTCACGAATGGCGTCACCACAGTCAGTAACACTAGGAACTGAGCATGTGTATAATTATTTTTTAACGGCAAGCCTTTTTGTTGGTTTGTAGCAAGCAAAAAGTCAAAAAAAAGGCAAAAGCGGCAGAATTAAAGTTTGCTAAGAAACCACTGCACTGCTAATATAACTCAACAAACCTTTTCGATTGGCGAAGAAACGAAACGGTGACGAGGGGCAAAAATTATTGAAATGAGCAATGTATTGAAAGCTACGCTTGAAAGACTTCATCGTTGTTCCATAAATAAACGGATTGAGTGTGCTGAAAACTGAGACACTGCAGATCAGACGAAATTTGCGACACTTTTTACGACTTGTTAGTTCTTATAAAAAGCATTCACAAAATAAAAAATTAAATGACGTGAGCATGATTTTTTGAAAGGAAGATTGCTGACGCGATTGCTCAGATGACGTTTTTACTTCCTGAATCTGCGCCTCCCTAATGATGCATATTCATCAACAACGAATTTCGCTTTTTTTTGGGGAGACAGAGAAACTCTTTATTAAAATTATCCAAATATTTTCTAATGTAAATTTTTTCTCCCTTTTTTTCCAGATATTTATAATCTAGATAATTCTGACAGTTTTCTGCGCTATGAGTTCAGCGATTGCTAATAGAACAACGAAACATCGGTGCACATTTGTGAAAAAGTTTGGGTTTTTGTGGTCAGTCGAAGGACCGTAGGAGCACTGGGAAGAATGTGAAGCATTTGGAATTTCTTTCATAACCAAAGAAAAAATGAACACCAGGGCCATTAGCAGGCTGGTAATCAGATGCAGCAGTCGTGAAAAAACTACCAGCTTTATTAATGGCATAAATCATAGGCGGATCCAAGACGGATTCCCACGCTGGAACCACACAAAAACGTAGGCTGGAACGCACCAGGCGAGCCGGAGCGATCATGCGTTTTTGCACAAAACTTGAA